ATTAAACCTAAAAATTAAATAAATTACATAAAAAAACAATAACTTTTAAATAGTTAATTTGATACTAATATTGATTTATATATTTTCAAATTTTTATGATATTTTTAAATTTATATTGTATTCAAAACTAAAAACATTATCTTCTTCTCAAAATCACATAATTATCGTATTAAAACATCTACAGAGACGGAACAAAACGAAACATTGAAATCTAAATATATCTCGTTGCATTGCACGAGTACTCTTATAGTCAATTTAAAATATATTCATTCATCATAGCATTAAACTTTTAATCGAATTCAAAGTTTATCTTGTTTTTTAAGAGAAATATATAGAAAAAAAAAAAACAAGAACATCAAAATTATTATTTTCTTTATTTAAAAAAAATATTAGAAATGCTTTTATAATATATCAACGAGATTGTTCGTTCAAGTGTTGTCGATATTGACTTAAAAAAGGTGTTTTAGGTACATGTAACATTAACATCACACACGTACACAGACATATGTAGTCTTTTATTTGGTAGGTAACATCGTCAATCATCAGATTTGAAGCTAATCGAAGTTAACTTCCCTCTGTCTAATCTACAAGTTATGGAACCAATGTCGATCGATCAACATGCCTGAGAGGTCACAACAACTCTCGATTGTCCAATCCTTTGGGCCTCACGAAGTATCCGTTCATAAATGTTGGTGAACGTTATAACAACTACGTCTACGAGTGTCTTCAGTGATTGTTTTCTTCATATTTGATTCTTTAGAGATGGACGTTCGCAAATGGTTTTATGAATCGAGGGTTCACTAAAAAACGTTTTTGATGGCATGATTATATCTTTCAACTTTCTCAGTAGACTTTTACGACTAGGAGCTGACTGTTTGTTGAATTTTTCTCTAAACATTTGAACTTCATCGCCATTTTGAGTATCGTCATCTTGTGCGGATACACGTGGCGAGAAATCAATTGTTTTCCAAAATACGTCTATCGAACAAATTGAATGAGTATGCATTAACATGTATACAGTGCTTGTCCATGCGTACATGGCAACCCAGGCCTGTACGCAGTTTACAACAATAATTTTCAGAAAATACGCTATTATTGAAAGACCACTCATCTTCATTGAAAATCATATCAAGTGCATAAAATGAAACAAAGTCCCACAAATTTTGAAAGTGTGGTTTTCTAAATCGATTTTTCTAATAGTTTTATTATATTCAAAATTTGTTTTGATCGATGTGTCTTGTGATTGAATTATGTGATGAATATGAGATAAAAAAAATTGTAAGTCTGCTCGTGAAGTCTCAAAAAATAATTTTAATTTGGAATATTGGCTTTCAACTCTATTTGTTATGTAATTTTCAAAGTTTAAAACTTGATCAACCCCAACAGATACAAATATTTTCTTATACGGTGTCAACCATACACTATTCAGATAATTCAATCTCACCTTAAAAATACAACAAACATATGTCAATAATATGACAAGGGTGTAAAACGAAAAATGATCATTTATGTTAATGTGATAATAGTGTAAAACGAAAAATGAAAAAACAAGGGACGTATCATCAATTAAATAATTAACTACAAGGGTGTAAAGTATAAATATTAAAAATATTTTTTTCTATATGATATAATAATATAATTAAATCAAAAAATATTTAATATTCAATTCATTCTAAAAGTATCGACGAGACAACTATAATGATGTAACTTATTAAAACTAAAACATATTATTTTAACATATTTTAGTTAACATACAATTGTGTAAGTTAATGTGATAAATGTGTAAAACAAAAAATAAAAAACAAGGGACTTAAAAACAAATTAATTAAATAACTAATAGAAGAGCGCTCGTGCAATGTAGCGAGATACATCTTTTGATTTTAATATTTAGTTTTATTCTTTATCTCAGTCGATTTATAATATTATTTTATGTGATTTTGAAAAAGCGATAATGTTTTTATTTTTAAATAAAATATAAATTTGAAAATATCATTAAAAATGACAAAAAATATCGATATTAGTATCAAATTAACTATTTAAAATTCATATTTTTTGTATAATTTTTTATTATAATTTAATTTAGGTTCAATAACGAAATAATTTATATTTGATTTAAAAATATAATTTCTTATAAAGATAATAATTAAGTATTCTGTAATTCAATGATTATTCTAATTATATTTTGGATTTATTATATTTAAAATGAGATGTTTATCCTGTATTTGATTATGTTTCACTGCAGTTAGTTACAAGAATTTGGATATGAAGCTTTAATAAGTTGTACTTACGCACAGTGTACTTGCAATATTGAGTTTTAAGTAATATGCATTAATAAACAGTACTTTACACATAAAAAATAATTTTTAAATTTGTTTATCAAATGTTTTATAATATAGTATAGATAATAATATAAAGTGTAACTTTAAAATGAAAAAGTATATTAAAAAGTTATCCGTAATTAAATGAAGAAAGAGAAAGAATTACTTTTTTGTTTTTAAGAAATAAAAGAAAGAATACTTTATTAAACAAAGATATGTATCTAAAATGATAGTTTAATTTTTAAAGGTGTTAAAGTCTGAAATCTAGTTTTACTTCTTATTTAAAATAGATGGTACTGAATTCTGAAATCCATATTAGTAAGATTGTTTGTTTTTACGTCTGAAGTCTGAAATCTGAATCGGTCAAACTAATGCAAAAATATAAAAGATAAATAATTGTTTACAAAAGTATAAAAGATGAATAATTTTTGTTAACAAATCTATTTCAACCCCAAAATATGAACCATGTGACAGTGGGCAGTTTAGGATTAAGATGTATTAAGAGATGCGTTTACCATTTAAAATTTCAGATAACATTTAGAACTTTTAAGTTCTTATTTTAAAAACAAAACAAACACTCTTAATACTCAAACGCTTGAACGAATCAAAATTCAAAGGTATTAAGAGTTAATTTTGAAAAAACAAACATACTCTAAATATAATCATCCTGAGAATATTATTTATGTCATTATTATATAATAATAATAATAATAATAATAATAATAATATAATTAATATTACATATTTTAAAAAATGCATTCTACTTTAATTTTTCATCTTTGAAAAAAATTATGAAGAAAGTTCTTACAGTTTCAAGAGATCCATAATCTCAAATTTTGAATCCTCTAAAACTTGATTTATAAAGTGAGAAATTAATATTTTGTTTATTATCAGCTTATCATCAATCAAATTAAATTATTATTATTTTATAATATATATATATATATATATATGAGATAAATTTATAAAATATTTTCATAATATAATAAATGTTAAAATATCTAAAATAAAAAAAAAACTGTTGAAGTTAAATTTAATTCTTTTTTATAGATTTTGGTTTCTCTGTTTTAAAAAAAACTAAAAGGGTACTCGTGCAAGCAATAATGTTTTTTTAATAAAATATAAATTTGAAGATATCATAAAAATTAAAAAAAAATTCTTATTTTTTGTAATTTCTTTAATTCAATTTTATTATTATTATTTAATTTAAGTTTAATGATGAAGTAATTTATTTTTGATTTAATAATATATTTTTTATGAAAATAATAATAAAATATTCCGTTAGAACTCAATAATTATTCTAATTATGTTTTAGATTTTAAATTTAAAATAATAACTTCATCATGTATTTGATTATATTTATCTACAATTAGTTACACAATTCAAATATGAAGCTTAATAAGTTGTACTTACAGTACACACAATATACTTGTAATATTAAATTTTAAGTAATATGCATCAATAAACAGTATTTTATATATAAAAAATGATTTTTAAAAGTTTTTGTTAAATATTTTATAATATAATATAGATTATAGAAAATCTTTTGAAAATACTCTAATTTATTATGATTTGTAATGGTCAAGATAAGAAATTTATAGCTTAAGTCAAATAATGATCTCTTTTTTTTTAAATAATAATAATTAAATTAAAAACCGTGTTTTAATTTTTTTAAACAATTTTATTTATTTATTATGTGTAGCAACACAATTTATGCTGAAAATAGAAATGTATTCACTCAATAAAATTATACATATCGTGGAACGTTATGTTTATTTGGCAATGGATCAAGAATCTTCATACAAGTGGGCCGCGAAAATATTACCGTTATGTCTGACACGTGTCTTCCAACCCAGCCACCTGTCTCCTTCTTCCATCTCCCTCTGGTTTTTCTCTCCATTTTCTCCATCTTCTCTCTCTCTCTCTCTCTCTCTCCCCGATCTCCGATCTCCCTGCAATATCGTGATCAATTGGTCGGCCGTGTCATTTCTTCCAAATTAGCAAAATTCAGTCCAATATCTTTCATGGGTTTTCATTAAATCCAGCACAAATATGCCGTCATCCATTTCCGGCAGAATCAGTGTTTCGTTTCTGCCGTGTTTTCTACTATTCATCTATTTTTCCGTCAATGCGGTCGCCGGAATAATCTCATTCGACTTCCAGACACTTTCTCTGAGCACCTTGAAGCTTTTGGGTGACGCTCACTTAGTCAACACCAGCATCATGCTCACCCGTGACCTCGCCGTTCCGAACTCCGGCGCCGGAGGGGTTTTGTACAACAAACCGATCAGGTTCAAGCGGCCGGGAACCGGGATTCCAGCGAGTTTCAGCTCCTTTTTCTCGTTCTCCGTCGCCAACTTAAACCCAGCATCGATTGGCGGTGGTTTAGCTTTTGTGATATCGCCGGACGACGAAACTCTCGGGGATGCCGGAGGGTATTTGGGTATTCCGGCCGGAGCCATTGCTGTTGAATTTGATACGTTAATGGACGTTGAATTCAAAGATATCAACGGGAACCATTTGGGTGTGGATCTCAACTCGGTGGTGTCGACTGAAGTCGTCGATTTGGATTCCGTCGACGTTGATCTGAGAAGTGGTAACCAGGTGAACTCGTGGGTCGAGTTCAACGGGTCAACTCAGCTACTCAACATCTCGATTTCATACTCCAACATAAAACCCATCTCCCCCATCTTATCAATCCCCATGGATCTCAACAAATACTTAAACGAGTTCATGTATGTCGGATTCACCGGGTCAACTCAGGGAAGCACGGAAGTCCACTCAGTTGAATGGTGGACTTTCAGTTCATCTTTTGATGACCCCACACAACACCCACCACCGCCGACCGCCACCGTCACCAACCCTTCTGCTGACGCCGTCATATCACCGCCACCGTCCATGCCGCCGATGGCTGGAAACCGGAATACCTCAACCCACCATTCCACACAAAAACAGAGCAAATGTCATAACCAGTTGTGCAAAGAAGGCGCCGGAGCGGTGGTCGGAGTTGTGACCGCCGGCGCGTTCGTTTTAGCCTTGTGTGCAATCTTTTTAATATGGGTTTATTCCAAAAAATTCAAAAGATCAAAAAAGGCACACCTTTTTTCTTATGATATCATTAAAACCCCCAAAGAATTCTCATACAAAGAGCTTAAATTGGCCACCAAATGCTTCGATTCGTCTCGAGTGATCGGCCATGGCGCATTTGGGACTGTTTACAGAGGGGTGTTGCCGGATACCGGAGATATGGTGGCCGTGAAAAGATGTAGTCATACCGGCGGTCAAGGGATGGAGGAGTTTTTATCAGAGTTGTCGATCATCGGAACTCTTCGGCACCGGAATCTTGTTAGATTACAAGGATGGTGTCATGAAAAAGGTGAGATTTTGTTGGTTTATGATTTGATGCCAAATGGGTCGCTCGATAAAGCGCTTTTCGAGTCGAGATTGACGCTGCCGTGGGTTCACCGGAGCAAGATTCTGATGGGTGTGGCTTCTGCTTTGGCTTATTTGCATCAAGAATGTGAGAATCAAGTGATTCATAGAGATGTTAAAACTAGTAACATTATGTTGGATGAAGGATTCAATGCAAAATTAGGCGATTTCGGGTTAGCCCGGAGAATCGAGCACGATAAGTCGCCAGACGCCACCGTGGCAGCCGGAACGATGGGTTACTTAGCGCCTGAGTATTTGTTAACGGGTCGGGCAAGTGAGAAAACGGATGTTTTTAGCTACGGCGCAGTGGTGCTAGAGGTGGCCAGCGGACGGCGGCCGATCGAGAGGGACTCGTTCGGGTCGAAAACAAGGGAAAACAGCAATTTGGTCGAGTGGGTATGGGGTTTACATCGAGAAGAACGGTTGTTGGCCGCTGCAGACCCGCGGTTGTGTGGGGAGTTCGACGAAGCAGAGATGCGGAAAGTGTTGTTGATTGGGTTGGTGTGTTCGCACCCTGACCCGGTAGTCCGACCCACGATGCGAACCGTGGTTCAGATGTTGGTGGGTGAGGCTGAGGCGCCTGTGGTGCCAAGGGCTAAACCATCAATGACCTTTAGCACTTCACATTTGCTATTGAATTTGCAAGATAGTGTGTCTGATTTGAATGGTCTAATTACCCTTTCAAACTCCTCATCAGACCACAACTTCAACGGTGATGGGTTGGACCTGGTTTGACCCGACCCGTTTAATAACCGACCCGATGATTTATAGGAAATTGACCAAAAGAGCTAATTTTTTCAACCAAATTCACCTTTTAGCTACTTTTTACACTGAATTCCCACAAAGGGAATCCTTAGGTAACTTTCTTTGAAAAAGTAACTAAAAAGTGGATTTGGTTGAAAAAATAACTATTTTGATTAATTTCTAATGATTTATTTATTTTTATAATTAGAATTAATATAATTTGTTGATTTATTATTATTTATTATGATGTAATAATTGATGTAAAGGACAATAATAAAGCTATAGGCATGAGAATAGGGGGCCTATGGGATCATGGGAATTCTTTGACAACATAATGCTACATTCATTTTGATGGACATTTAAACATGTATTATGATATGTGGAGGTCATTTTCATGAAATTGTGGAAAGATGGGAAGTTGCTTTCACAAACAATTGTCGATCAAAGTCAATAAGCAATTAAATGTAGATGTTCCATAAATTGTAAAAGCTAACGTTTAGGACCGTTTACCAAATTGTTGTTGCGTTAGCGTTTCGCGTTTCTCGTTTCTCGGGTGTACTTTCCTTACTGGTGGTGAGTTTGGTAAGTACATGACATCTTACTCGATACAAGATGTAGGGGCCGTTTACCAAACACTTATCCAGTAAGTGTGATTAACGGTAAAATTTAACATTATTATTTTCTTATTAGATAAGATTTTGGTCTACCAAAACGTCATTGTATGCAACAATTTACTCGGTAAACGCTTACCGTGGTAAGAGTCGTCGCCCTCACTTACCTGATAAGACTCTTGGTCCATGTCTCGTTCTTACCATTCAACACTTTAATTTCATTATGAACAATTACCAAACAATTATATTTCATTTTGTACTATAGCATAAGAACCTCTTAATCATTCTGACCACTTAATCATCTTATACTAATCCATTCAGCAACTACCAAACAGTATTTAAAGTATTAATTTTATAAATTAATAATTAAATAAAAACACGATATTTTTATATGCAAATTTTCTTTTTCATAAAGTAAAGTGTCGGTTCAAGTGTCTATTTGGCAAAACTTAATAAACTAAGCTTAAATACTTTTACGATTTTAAACAATCAAAACATAATCATATTAATAAATCATTAAGAAGCGTGCTAATAAAGCTAAAGAACAAGTAAAAAGCGATTAAGAGTTATAAACGGTTAACATTAATATACAAATAACCAATTTAATTATAGTCAGCTTACATACACAGATTAATTCCCCAAGCGACTAGAAACGACTTGAAGTCATCGCAGATGAACCTCCATGGCCACAAAGGTTTTGGTAGCACCCGATTCAAATTAAGGGTATATGAGATTTTCCACTACATCCCTCTGCGGCTTAACCAATGCGTCACAACCCAACTGGCTTTAATGAAAATCTCAAGATGTGTTTATATAAAAAAAATGTTAACAGTTTAAACCTCGTTATAACAATATATTGGAAGTCATATAAATTAAAAAGTCTTATTAATAAAGTATTATAAAAGAAACAAATGGGTTATTTTCATTAAAAAAACATCATCTATCTATACTACCTTATAAATCAGATTTATCGAAAGTCTTAAAAACAATTTTTAATGCACACAGTACTATACATTCATGCACAAAGTCTTAAAAGTTTTAAAACCATCTCATAATGCATTCAGTACTACTACTTTATGCATTAAGTCTTAAAATATCTTAATTTGCAATTAAAATAACATATAGTACAAGTTACCAATGCACATCATTACCTTTTCTTTTCATGTTTTCAAGATACTTTTGACACATTTTCACCCTCTCATACCTCTATGTCTTCTCTCCATCCCCCAAGGTGAAATTCAAACTGATATCCACAATGAGTTATTAAAAGTTCTCTCATTCAATTGCTCTAGAACTCTCGGTCTCGATCTCTTGATTATTTGTTTTTGCTGTAAATCGAACACATTTATAGAGTCGGTTAAATATGTTGGATTTTAAATTGGCATACAAACTTTTTCATTGATAGACTGTAATTGAAACCATAACTCTTATTTATTCAAATTGTATTAATATGTAAATGTCAAGGATAACTTATATCATCGTTAAATCTTCTCTAATAAAACCAGTGAAACTTCAAAAAATCGTTAAAATTCATGGCTCCCTCCATATTGCGCGGATACACAACTAATACTGGATAAAAGTAAATTTTATAGGTAATTGTGGGCATCCACCAGCTTACATGCACCGACACAATAGTTTTGAGTCATTGTAATCAAGGTTTTAAATGACGTGAGTTGTGGTGTGGCAACAAGGCCAAATCTCAAGGTTTAGGAGCCACAACGAGGCCACGATGTTTTTAAGTCGTGAGTTATGACGGCAAATACATATATCATATACAATATTATCTTTACAAACATATGTTTTCTACTATTAATTAACGAGTCAATGATAATAAATAAGTCAATGTTAAAAACCAAAACAAATACGACATTAAAACAAATTTTATCAGTCAGATTGAAAATATAAAAAGTAAGTTTTAATGTTGATATATATTAATATGAAAATAATAAATAAAAATACATTTAGCAATATGTACTAATACATTTAATGGTTTCTTAATTTATATTAAATAAAAGACCGTTGATGTGACATAAAACCATGTCTACTTTTATATTCGAAAAGAATAATTACAGAAAATTCCGAATGGGAAAAGAAACTACTTTTACTTTTGTTCTCCTTTTTTCTATTTTCAACTTTAAGACAACTTTGGGTTAACTTTATTTCACCCATACGTGTAATTACTTAAAAGAAGCATTTTATATCTGATATGTTAATAAAATGACCATCAAAATCGCTTTTGGATGATAATTTTGATTATAAGGTACGAATGGATCCACATGTATATCATTTGAGGAGCAAAAAATCAGATATTACATTTGATATATATGAAATCGCCTTCATTTTGTCTAAATCATCCATGTGGGCCATTTTGACCTATATTCCGTCTTCTAGTGAAGGCAACTTATGACGCAACGATTTGACAAGACATCGGGGGCGATTTTCATTGATATTTTGTCTTTTTTAGAACCAAATATAGTATACAGATAAATCTTGTAGTATTTTTTTATAAAATTGTAGTGATTCAAATACATAAACTCTCACAATCTTTAACTCTTAAACATAATCTATCATCACAATCCTTAACACAAATATGAAATCATATCAAAGTGATAATGGTTTAATGTATTGTTAAAGTGATGAGTTAAGAGTTGTGAGAGTAGAATTTTTGGATCATTACAATTTTATAGAAAATAATACAAGATTTATATACATTACATTTGGTTATAAAAAAGACAAAATAACAATGAAAATCGCCTTCAATGTCTTGTCAAATCATCGTTAATATATCAAATCATTGTGTCAAATCGTCATTGATATACATCAAATCGTTGTGTCGTAAGTTGTCTTCACTAGAAGACGAAATAGAGGTCAAAATCGCCTCATGTGAAGGTGATTTGCCTATTTTTAGATATAATATTTAATTTTTGTCCCCTAAATAATATACATGTGAGACTCATCCGTATCTTATAGTCAAAATCACCTAAGATAGTCAAAATCGGCCTCATTTTGTGAAAAAAAAAGTTGAAAAGTGATAATTTTATTAATGTACAATGTATTGATTATTTTGGGTAATTTTCCTTTTGAAATTGAATAATAATATGTTTCATTTAATTTATTAATACCAGAAGAATACTCAAATAATACAGCAAAATACATTTTGATTTTAATATTTTGTTTTATTTTTTGTCCTTGTTAATATAACATGATTTTATATATTTTGAGAAAACAATAATGTTTCTATTATTGAATAAAATATAAATTTGAAAATATTATAAAACTTTGAAAAAAAAAATATATGGACATTAATATCAAATTTATCTATTTAAAAATTCTCGCTTTTTTCTATTTTATATTTTTTACTTTTTAATTTAAATTTTGTTGTAATTTAATTTATTTTTAATAATGAAGTAATTTATTTTTGATTTTAATAATATAATTTTTTATAAATATAATAATTAGGTATTCTCTTAGAAGTCAATAATTATATTAATTACATTTTAGATTTTTTATATTTAAAATGAGAAATTTGTCTTTTATTTGATTATGTTTATCTACAGTTAGTTACATAAATTCAAAAATGAAACTTTTAATAGGTTGTACTTATGGTACAATTTATATATAGTCTTAAATTTTAACTAATATACATTAATAAACAATACTTTATGATAAAAAAATTAAAACGTTTTTTTTTATCAAATGTTTTATATTATTATATGGACTACAAAGGTGTTTTTGGTATACAAAATGGGCGATAAGAGATTAAACTGAACTCTTGCTTGACTGATTTATATATGACTAAATAAATTATCTATTTACATATCATATGCGATGACGAATATGACATTGCAAGTTGTATAAAATAATACAATCGTTGCTTAAATATTGTTTTATGTTTTATATCATATAATAATTCATAGTATATTATAAAATATTTGACAAAAACTCTTAAAACCCATTTTTTATAAACGAAGTACTGTTTATTGATGTATATTACCTAAAATTCAAGATTACAAGTAAATTTTGTGTAAGTACAACTTATTAAAGCTCCATCTTTCAATTCGTTTAACGCAGCTAATTATAATCAAACATAGAATAAATATCTCATTTTAAATATAAATTTTTAAAAATATAATTAGAATAATTATTAAGTTCTAACAGAATACTTAATTATTATTTTTATAAAAAATTATACTATTAAACCTAAATTAAATTACTTCGTTACGTTAAATTAAATTATAAAGAAAATTTTGAATTAAAGAAATTACACAAAACAATAACTTTTAAATAATTAATTTGATACTAATATCGATATAGTTTTTTCAAACTTTTATGATATTTTCAAATTTAGATTTTATTCAAAAATAAAAACATTACCGCTTTCTCAAAAACAAATAAAATCGTATTATATCGACATAGATTAAAAATAAAATGAAACATTAAAATCGATATATGTATCGATGCATTGCACGAATACCCTTCTAATAGTTATAAATGCTAATAGATCAACTATAATTTTTATTTTTAAATACTAATGTATTATCTTCATATTAAAATAATCAAGTTCATACTTTTTTTATATAATATATAATAGAGTATGTATAGGAAAAAAGTATAAAAAATATTTTTATTATATGTATAATATTATAAAAATATTTTTATTACATAATATATAATATTATAAAATACAATATTTAGTATAAATTACATATAATCAAAGGTAGTATGATAATTTATTTTTGTTCCACGTATTTTATTTAATCGTAAAAAAGTATATAATTTTTAAAAAAATGCTTAGTAAGTTATAAAATTATTATTTTATTTAATAAAAAATATTACTAAAAATAATTAAGAAATATATAAGGTTGACAAACCTCGAAACATGTCTAAAAAAACTACTTTTTTAACAATTAACCGTAAATAATAATCCAAAATAAATTATAATAAAATAATTTAGAGATTAATTATAAAACAAATTGCATGAAAAAAATAATGTACTATTCTCATATTGGATAACATGTTTTTAGAACTTTCATTTTGATATCTAAGATGTAAAAGTTTAAACATTTAAGTACCCGCGTAACAGGTTGAAGCATTAATCGGTTACCATGTTGATGTGGTGAATGATATGGTATCCAACTCAGCATTATTTGTTGAAGCATGAACCGGATACCACATCAGCATGATAACAGGTTAATGTTTCAATCAGTTACCTGAGTACTTAAATGTTTGAAACTTTACATCTTAGATTCTTAGGTACCAAAATAAAAGTTTTGAAAATACGTTACCGAAAATAGAAATCAAGTTAAAACATGTTACTTTTTCATGCAATTTACCCTTAATTGTAAAACTGAAATTAAATTATATATAAAAAGCATTTTTTATTTTATAGAAACCAATAGCCCAAACCTATATCATGATTTAGGCCTTAGCCCATTTTAATAAATCATGAAAATAGATATCTATATAATCAATGCATATTTCAAACCTAATTTTAATGTTTTTTTATTAACCTGTATATCTAACTCGTTGTGTTAATCGACTAATCTTAAGATGACCATCTGTTTTGCGGGTAGTCTGAAGTCACCGCATTTGAACCTTCATGGCCACAATGAGATTCCATATGATATGAAAATACAAATTGTTTCAAGTTCATGGATATGTTTGATTTGTAAGATTGAAAATTTTGTCTGGATTATTAAATTAAGTGATAAAATATGTTTATTTATTTATAAGTCTGATGGAAAACTCAATCATATACTCTCGTAATTTTGCCAAATGATAAAACTACTAATGGATAGATTCATACAAATAATATCTGATCTATTATTAATTTATTATTACAGTAATTTTACTGCTATTTATAATGTATTTTTAGAAGTTATTTATAAAACAAGAAGGAACAATATATAAATATTATTAAAAAAAATAATCATAATTTATCATGGTTTACATTCACATTTCAAAGCTACATTATGCAGGGAAAAAAAGTTCAATGAAACGAAACTGAATTCCCATTACATTTCTTACTGATCAAATTTGTGATAACCAAATTAAATTTCGTTACAATTTTAAAAAAAAAAAATTAAGTTATTATCAAAAAATATTACGTGAAACGAACCTCGTGTTCATATCGATTATGTCATTTTAGTCAAATTCAGTCACATAAGCGGTTAATTTGAAACAATAAAACATAAAGAATGATCAAATGAAGGGAATACATATAATACCCTGGTTTTCGTTATAACCATTACGTGTTTCATTTCCGTTCTGTTTGTATGTATAAGTATCCGAGCATTAATCTCTTGTATAATAGCTTGAAGTGTCTTGTACCTTGTTCTTGAAATGAAGAGTACAATGTAACAGTGGTAAATAAGGACCAAAGTTATACAAGCTAGTCATAGTTTATGACAAAAAATGTAGTAAAATTGTCATATAGGGGTTGATTTGTAAAATGTCAACCTTCAAAGTAGGAGTTCAAGACGAGGAAGCTGAGGGAGCAAAATCTGGATCGGTTTTCACGGTTGGGACTAGATAGTCGCGTGCTCGCACCTCTACCCGTTCAGGCAGATTTGGTAGTCCATCAGACAACGCGTTTTTGTCATGCGGTTTTGATTGTGTGATTCTTGGTTTTGATTTCAGGCGTATATTAGCTCCCTTTCATTAGCGACATTTGAATTACATAATAATTGAACCTTGATTTTGATTATACGTTTTACTTCCCCTGTTTGTTTTATTTAAGTTCGGTTTACGGTTTATCTTCAATCCGTTCACTAAATATGTCGCTCAACCGCGTCTTTCGTTTTCTATGCACGACATTTTAGTAGCAGTTACGTTGGGGATGAGATTGAGAGGCTAACATGTTTCTTTTATATTGTATATATAAAGGATTTAAGCAAAAGTTTTGGATGCTTTTTGTAATATATAGAAATTCGAAGGACTAAAATGTAAAAGTTGTTCATAACAGTCTCTTATTCAATTGATCAGCTCTCACGCGCTCCGGGGACACTCGCATACAAACCACACAGTTCGTCTAGAACTCTCCAGAACGGGGTTTCTGCGAATCGATCTCTATCAAATCGCATTCTATCTGGTTCTATCCTGAAATCCGTTTCATGGATTACGAATCGGACTTTCCCGATCATGTTCCTCCGTCCTTCGATCGATCGGTTCGTTTTCTTTTCGAAGATCGTTTTATGAATATCTGTTTTTGATGATTTCCTTAAGATCTGCGCATTGTAAATGTATTCTTATGTTTCTAATGCTGTGAATTTAGGCTTCGTAGACTGTTTTGATCGTACATGATATTCATGCATAAGCTACACAATTTTGTTTTATTTCCGTTCTCTATAATTCATATTGTGTTGTGGTGTTATGGAACAGCGGCGATTCAGCTAAACGGTCTGATAAAACGCTATTTACGTTGTACAATTTGTTTCTGATTGTGAATGAGAGCTCGAATAGTGTAGATAGCTGTTAAAATAAAGAAATTCGAGTTTCAAATGGAAAGTAATTTGCGATTTCTTATTGCAAGCAATTGAGGTGCGTCAGTAGTCTGTCCATGTGGAAGCTGCCATTATCAGACGATATGTTTAATCATAGAAATAGGGTAGCTTCCTTGAACTGTTGAATTTTCGCTATTGCAGACTCTTAATTGGATGTTAGTGTGAGTAATCTCTACCCTGGAATTCAATTAGCAATCATGAGTCCTATATCTGCTTTACTTCTTATATGTTTGTTTCTCTCCCTTTTTTTTGGGGGGGGGGGGGATCAATAGAACATTCTTGAAGGATGCAAGGAGCTAAAACATGTTAAAAAAACTCATGTCACTGATCAGTGATTGGTTGTGTGATTTTATACGCGCAGGAAATTATATTTGTAGAATTTAGGTGACGACTTGTATATCAAAGTGCATATTAACATTGTCTTGAACAAGGAACAATAGTTGTGCTTGTTTATTTACATTGTTAAAATCTGGAAGAAAGAACACTTTAGAAAAGAAAGAATAGAAGACGAAGAACAATTTTACATCTACATTTTAACTTTTACTTGACATTTCTGAAGAAGCTACAAGTCAAAATCAAACCTAACGAGCCCAATATATCCCATCCCAAGGTGGGATCTGGGTGGGTGACGCAAACCTGTCCTCTACTTCGGAGAGTTGGGAGCCTGTGTCCACAAGGATCCCTGACTTGCAAAAAGTGTGTGCGAAAAAAAAGCTTGCCCAAAAAGTGTTAACACTTTGAAAAAGGGAGAAGAATTGAAGAAGTGAAAGAAGATCAAGGCTGAAGAAGAGAATGAAAACACGGCTAATACTAGAGAAAAGGAAGTAGCACCATATAATCAAAAGTAGGTACCAAGGAACAAAGGTGAGGGTCTTAAGTAATAACACTAAAATTTCGATAGGCTCTTTTGGCTTTAAGAGTATAATGTTGCTTTCCATATGCCGTTCATCTTTGTCATGAATGTACAAATATACTACTGAATACATGTAAAGTGATATCAGATCTAGAGTCAAATTAGGCTATTTGGTGGGGGGAAACATGCATGTTGCTCCAGTTGGGTATGTGGATGTGTGTGTGGGCAAGTATTACTTTGCTTAAGGTGTTATACGTGAAAGTCGAGCCAAAGCAAGTTTTCACTTATGCGCACGGCCATTTAGTGTGTATTTGTTGTCGACTTGTCATGATGCTTTCCAGTATTAGCATTACTTGATATTTCAAACTGTTTAAATATGGTATACCTCTGGTGAAGGTATGTCATAGCCTTTTGAACTGCTGCCTCTAAAATCTATAGTGAAGCATGATTTACAATCGGAAGCCTTGAAAGAAGATTCACGCCTTCAATCTTTTTGACGTTACACACTTTCTACAGCAAAATAGATTATGTAATACGACGAATTCGTCGCGTAACTCTAAACAAGAGCACCGTTATTTAGCATGTGGTATTAACATAGAGCCACAAATTAACATGGCAGCGGGCATGAAGGTGTTATTTAGTGAGTTATTAATCTCAGGCTGTTTACTTTTAGCTATTTGTCTCACAGTTAGCTAATCGAGAGAAGTGAAAATTTTCAGTTGTTGTTTATTTTGTTTAAAAAGGTATGATCATAGAAACTGATCATGTGTTATTATTGACCAAATGAGCAGAAATTTGGGGAGAAAGATGTGGAAGCAAAAGGGTTTAACCCAGGATTGATCGTGTTGCTGGTTGTGGGCGGGCTACTCATAACTTTCCTTGTGGGGAACTATGTACTATACATGTATGCCCAAAAGACACTGCCACCAAGAAGAAAGAAGCCAATTTCCAAGAAGAAGCTGAAACGGGAGAAGCTGAAGCAAGGCGTTTCAGTGCCAGGCGAATAATCAAGCATCCATTCGTCATGAACTCATGTCCAGCAGTAGTACCGTAAGTTTGCTTGAACTACTTTTTGTTGGTTTTAAAGAATAGATTGGTAAAAGCTTGCTTGATAGTTTAGACATCACCCAGCATCTGGTAATCAACTTGGTTTTTTGTTCTTTTTGGCTATTAATTTCACCATTTTTACCTTGTTCATGTGTGTGCTGGCTCCCGTCTCTGGTTACTGGTATTAACCGGTAGAGAATAGGTTGAAATCTAACCAAAACAAACTAAGGGAGGGTAAATTATACGTAGTCCCTAAAGCGGTAGAGAGGTTGTTTATGTGAATACCCGGGTTGTGGTAAAAAGAGAAAAATCGAACCGCGGATCGTTGTATCATATCTTTTTTGATATGATACAAAAAACCGAATTATAATTGTTGTAAATAATCTCTTGTTTGTGTCATTATTTTTAGTCCTAAATTAGATGCGACGATTGAGGAGTTCTTTTGTCAAGTACAGTGGGAGTTTTGGTGCTGGTTTGAACCTCGTACCTAACATTCCTGTTATGTAATGATTGTTAATGACGGTATTCTTAGACTTGAGGGTTAAATTTCCAACTGTGGCTCGTTGACGTTGTATATGAAATGTATTATAATGATTTCTAATTATACATATTTGTAGGTAAATGACCAAATATGATAAATTGCTCTTTTCTTTTTGGAAACACAGCAACTCATCAACCTAAATACTTAACAGGAGATGAGTTATAAAACCATTGCATCCACCCGACTCTACCTCGAGCGGCATATACTAGGCCTGTTTGATTTGGATGTTAATTTGACAATGCTTACTCATGAGAATCTGAGACTCACCCTCAACTTAGAGACCAAAACTTAAGCAGCAACACCATAGATACAACATTCCTCAAGTAATTCAAACCAAAAAACATACAGGTTATCCGATTACCTTATCTGGGAGACTTATTTATACACACGACCACAGATCAAGGATACCCGTAGATTTAGATAGATTTTTTTTTTTGGGTGGGGGGGGGGGGGAGTTCAAGCGAAACAGGCCATGGTCTGTTCCCCAGGAGGGGTCAGAACCAGCAATGCACCACCACCGATGGCGGAGGAGGAGAACGTTTCGTCTCCGCCTCAGGTGGTGATGCATTAGAAATTTGTTGTAAATTTCTTATCATCATCAATTGCGTCGTTTAACTGTCGTTCGTCGTTGCTGTGATCGTCTCCTTGTTGATTTGATAAAAGAGGGCTTGATTCACCGGAAGAATCGCCATTGTTTCTCTCCTGCAATCCAAATTATTGCAGACACAGAAATTTGGGGATTTGGATTTGAGAGAGGTTGGTTGTCCATTTCTTTTCTTTTTCACTAATTTAGTTGCCTCTTTTTTATTTTCTTTTTTCACGTTTTGTTGATATTAACATAAATAATAACATCTTTTAAAATTAGACTGAATCGTGGATTTGATTCGTGTTTTGATATTTGTTTTCACCGCGGTTTAATGTTTATAGGGTATTCAATTTGTTTTAATCATGATCCCCTGATTACATCTCCATTAACTCTTTTAAATCAAGGGTTATTTTAGTCTTTTACTTATTCTTTTTTTTTTTAATTATTATTAAAAAAGTGAAACTAATATTTATATATATGAATATTGTTTATCCATTTCATTTCTGTATCTGTTATGAATCTTCATCTTCTTCCAACATAACAAATCTTAGCGATAGTGATCCATGGTGACCCAATTGAGCTCCGCTAGTTGGGAAAGAGAGATAACCCATGTGATTAAGAACAATACTTCACAACAGTAGTTGGCAAAAAGAGGTGCAATTTCATAACTGGGTTAGGTAAGAGGTGTAAGATGAACAGGATTTTAGGTTTTAGGTCTTCGATTTATGTTTTTGGGGAAGAAGATCAAGATTTATAGATAAAAATAAATAAATTTAAAATTGAGAAAACTAGTAAAATAAAATTTTGATGTTGTTATGCTCTGAATTTCAATGGAGTTCTTTGAGTTGATGAAGGGGTGTTAGTTGGTCATGGTCTCGGGCTATTTTTCTATTTCAGAGAAGCTGTGAGAGATGTTGTAACAAACCTTTAGGGGTCGCTCATTTAAAGCTTATCTAGTAAGCGCTTTATAGGGTTCATTTACCTTACCAAACAAACATAGCAAAGGTCGAGAATCTTACTCGGTGGCGGTAAAAACGATGATAAAAAGATGGAGAGTCTTACCCGATAAGGGAGGTGACGACTATTACCCAGCGTTTTTTAATGGACTACAATCCTACCCCGGTAAAGTAAGTTAGAGTGTTGACTCTTAGGGTAAACAATTACCGAGTAAGTGTTTGGACAAAAGCTTGTTAGTTACAAATTCTAGTTTGTTTGTTTTTTTGTTCTTTTTTCTTCTTTTCGGATTAAAAGACAGACATTTAAGTAAGAGGCCGTTTGCAAACACTTAACGGGTAAACTTAACCAAAAAAAGAGTCACTACTCTCACTTACCTTTGTGAAGTGACAGTTTTGCCACCAAAATGGATTAATGGTAAACAATTATAACCTGGTAAAAACGCTTACTGAGTAAGACTCTCCAACCTTGTTATGTTCATCGGATGGTCTCCAGTAAACGCTTACCAATGTAAGCGTTTAATAAACGTTGCCTAAGTGAAAATTTCAAAAGGATTTATGGTTGAGGGCGAATGCATGATTTACCTTTTAAGTCATAAGATATACGCACTTTAGGTTATCAGTTAACATCATGAGAACATTGAATTCGAATAGCAAACAAAGCATCCCAAAAGTTTATTACTTGAATAATACAACGATTGTTTTTCAAAATGTCAAATATAACACACATAAAATAAAAAACATATTTATTAATTACATTACAATTTCAATACCAAAGCCAAAACAATTACACAAGTAAATATTACAACTGTATCAACACGATAATCTGAAATCAAGAACATGGTAAAATACTGATTCAAGTTGTTGGATGTAGATATAAACCAATAACCAATATATCATACATGTTTTAGCATGTTCTTGATTTTTATATTACTGATCATGAAAATAAATAAAAGCATAATAGTATTATCTTAACTTGAATTTGTACTCAAGCCATCATCGTTCAAATATCCTTCATTTGTTGAACTTTTTTCCCTGTTCATTTAAAACTACACGTAAGAACAAGAGGTAATGAAACATTATACGGGTTTTAACACTTATAAACAAGTGTTGTCGTTTTTTATATTCTGAACGCATGCTTATAATTCATTGAGCATGCCAATTTTTGGTTGATTAACAAAAATGTTTTCATAGGGCTAGTGAACAAAAGTAGTCGACAAGATAATCATTATGATTAGCCAATTTAGAACGTATCTAACAAATTTTTGAAGAATTATATAAACTTAGAGAATTTTATACTTTTATCTCCTATTTTTCCATTTTATAGAATCAATTAGAACAAAAACTTGTCGAAATAACTAAAATTTTCATTTTATTTATTTTAAAAAATCCGTAGAAGATGGCTTTTTTATAAGAACCGGAATGATTCCAATGTTTCGGGAAATCCCTCAAACGTATTACATCCATTTTCAAACTTAGCTAAACTTCATCTCTTTATTATTTTTATTTATTATAGGTAAACAATATATTAAATAAATTAAAGTAAAGAGACAAAAGAAGAGTTAGTTACAAATTCTATAAGAAATAGAAAAATAACGAAAAATTATAACGACAAGAAGGAACTAACCAACAAGAACTTGTCTCTATACCAATCAATCCATGAGATGTTGAATTCGTAAGTTTTGAGGCCCAATGAATTTATTTGTTTTATTATTAACAAACATTATATTAATATTATAATTAATGTTTAATTATTTATGTTATTGCTAATGATGAAGAAATATATTATTGTATTATTAATGTTGTTTTCATTACATTTGTTTTGTTTAATTTAATTTCGTTTTTCTTATTATGATGATGAAATATTTAACAAAGGAAAATAATATTTTATTATACTGTATTAATAAGAAACTTTGAGATGAAATTTTTATGAAAGAGAAATAATATTTTACTAATTATATGAAATATTTTATTAATATAATTAAAATTGTAATCTTTAAAACCTAAAATTTATTGAAGTTGAATACAATTTTTATATAAAGATTTTGAACTTTTGTTCTTTATTTTGAAGAAACTCTATAAACTTTCAAGTTTCAATTCTAAAATTGATGGTTCTTAAAAAAATCTGTTTTTATATGTCAAAAAAAATGAATTTTAAGGAATTGCAATGTAATTTTATCAGGATTGACCACATGTTTTGTTGACAGACATTAAAAAAAATATGCTAAAAGAATTGGAATTTGTTTATTTGGTTCACATAATATAGTTTTAGAATTGGAATGAAATGTTTAAATGATCAAAATATTCTTTTTGAAAATTTTAACATGATATACATTAGAGTAAATTGATTTTATTACTTTTTTGCATACACAAAATACATACGGTGCTCCCGAACTCTTCATCTTCTATGGCAAACCCTAGTCTCCCCTACCCTTTCAATTGTCCTCCTCTGCCGCTTCCTAGGGCTAGGGGTGCTCAAAAACCCGATCAACCCAACCTAACCCAACTCAACGCAAAATAACTCAACCCGAAGCAACCCAATGTCTAATCGAGTTGTAAAATTTTCAAAGCGTAGGTATTGAGTTGATATTGTGTTACTATTATTTGAACCCCAACCCAACCCATGAATCCAATATTCTTTTATTTTTTGGATTTAATATGATTGTTGAGTTTATATTAACATATACATTAGACAATTACATTATCACGTACGGTCTAACATATTTTCAATATATTATCTCCATTTCTATATAACTTATTCGTATATATGTTCAATAACTGTGAACATATATGTAAATTGAGAAAATTAATTGAATGTGATATACGTAAAAAAATATGGATAAGTTGTATCAAATGATTGATGATGAAAAAGAAATTATGAGTATATAAATAACATATTCAAGGTTAGAATAATATTTAATCTACTAAAGTATCAACCCGACCAACTCGACTAACCTGATCAACCCATACGGTTTGGGTTGGGTTGCACTTTGATTTGAGTTGGTTGGGTTAGGTTAGGTTAAGATTTTTCAAATCGCAAGCATTGAGTTAGATTGTTCAAATGTTTTCAACCAGATCAACCCAACCCATGAGCACCCCTACCGACAGGCCATAGCCACCACCGTCATTCCCCGATGCAAAGTGAACCCCACCTTCCCTCCTTTTCTCCACCGGCGACCCATCTCACCTCCTATTGTCACCGATGGAAAACCTCATCTCCGGCCATCCCCACCTCCATATTTAGCTTCCCCGTTGTCTCCATCTCTGCCCTTCCCCTCCTCTAAATGGTGATGATTCAAAATTGATTTAGTGAAACCCTAAATCGAAGATCATCAGGCATGGAAATTTATGCGTGTGAGCCATATCTTGATTCTGCAAATAAATGTTGGTTTTGGAAGTATTTGATTTAGGTTTGAAAGTATCTGATTGTTTTGTTTAATCAGGTTAGGATTTATTTGCGTTAAATGGTATTTTTGGGATTATGAAGATATATAATTCCATTCCGTCAAAATACCACATAATTGTTAAGGAATGTCTAAATCCCTCATTCATGGAATTTGCTAGAATTTAAAGATTCCTTCCAGTAAAAAGAATGAACCAAACAAGGAAATGGAATGTGGTCAAAGGAATGCAACATTCCAATTCCATCAAATTTTCTTTTAGAACCCGTTTAGTTTGCAAGATTGTTTTTGAAAGATTTGCATTTAATTTTTGGATTGGATTGGATTGAATTTAAAATCATTGGTTTGTTTGGTTTGTAAGATTTGGAACGAAATTGAATTCCATTATTTATAAATAATTTACAAAAAAATTACAAATTATTATAAAAATAATTAAATTATATTTTATTATAATCAATTATTTCAAAACAAATGTTTTCAACATTTTTTAAAACCTTATTTCATACAATCTTACGAAATCTCGAGCACTCCCTAAGGGTTTCAAAATCCTATATTTGTAGGATTTCAATTAAATCATATGATTTAAAATTCAGACAATCCTACAAACCAAACATGAGATTATAATGAATTTGAAATCAAAATCCCCCAAGATTCTTTTCATTCCTGCAAACCAAACAAGACCCAGAATCTACGAACCAAACGCCACCTAACATGAGATGTCATAGAAACCTAAGTAATTTATATTGATTTACATAAAGTGTTACTCCGAATAATCAAACATCGTGACGCTAAATTATGTCAATCTAGATATTGAAAGTATATCATATAAGGTGTTTCACGGTGAAATTGATTGATTATGTTATATAAAAATGATATAATATATAATATTAATTTAGAAATAATTATTGATTTTGCTTTTAATAATACTAAAAAAAACAATTTTATATAAACTATTTGTATTTCTTAGATTCGATGTCATTTTTTTTTACGATAAAAACAATATATATTGAAAAGAAAATCAGTACTTATTGAAGTTAAAATGTCAGGAAAGATCCCATTCCCATCCATGATACTTCTCGTACGTAATGATGGCAACAATCTAAAAAAATCTATCAACATGTGTTTGTTAATTAAAATTTTGTTAACAGTATGTCACCCTATGATGCAACACTCATCATATGAAACGTAAATCGGAAAGATGGTTCATGGTTCATGGTTCATGGTTCATGGTTCATACCTTCGTTAACTTATTTTGAGTTATCTGCCTTTTGGATCGAGGATGGTTCTTGAAATTTCTACTGCCACCGGTTCGCTTTGGTGGAGGCCTCTGCGAATGAGTTTCAGGTCCCCGGTAATCAATATCATAAGCTTCCGAATCGAGTCCCTCTGCACGAATCAGAATCCACATCAAATTAATCAAACAACTCAGATCGAAGCTTACTTGTGAAATTGATGATAATTTTGATCGATGATAGCTATGAACTTGTTTTCAAGACGTAATTTAAGATTCCGATCGTCTGAACCACATGCGACTGTAAATTAAGTTGAAGGTTTGAAGTTCTTATGCACTGTACTCATGAATCATATAGCTGCTCAGGATGATTCGAGTGTTTGAGATTTGCAGTTGCATCAAATAACAACATTAATAAGAGATGATTATTCGCAGATCCAAACTTATGAGAACTTATCAAAATCAAAGATCTCCTAATTCCGAAAAACCTACAACTCGATGGATTCCATCTCTAAGCTTGTTTAATCATCCAGTAGATTCATGATTCATGATCATCCATGGCTTAAATTCTTAATCAGTTGTAAAATCAACAAAAAACAAACAAAACCGAAGATCAACAAAATTCAAAACACCGTACGTCAAATTCCTATTTCAACGTTAAGAACGAGAGAACTGAAACGATAATCGAACAAACCTTTTGAGGAACCAGGCTCTGCAAATAGCAGGACGAGAATGAAAAGCGTAATCATGCAACTCTTCAGATCCATCGCCAACGTACGTCGGAGAGATCTAGAGAGATAGCTAGTGGCGGTGGTGATAAATACAAGGAGAGTGAAGCTAACTATTGTGGCGGTGGATGGTGGAGGAGATAATGGGCCGGTGCGTCTCTTTAAGCATTTGAAACCGTCACCATCTTCACAGCCAGGTCTGAACTCAATCTTCGTCTCTTTGATGGACCAGCTGCTATAATTCAAAAACCATCTTCCCAGATCCGAAAACCCGACCCAAACCGACCGACTCTTCACTCTTCCGTCCCCACAAACAAAAGGTATACATTCCTTTCAATACCATGTGTTATAGGGTCGTGTGTATTATGAGATAAGAAAAAGACAATAAATTGATACGAATTGTATCCTTGTTATTATTGTTTTATTTAATCGTATTTTCAATAAAATTATGCGGTCACTTTGGGCTATCTGCAAAGCAGGTGGTCGTATTAAGATTAATCGGCTCGCAAAGCGGGTTAGGTATCGAGGTTAATTCAAAAAAAAAAATCTTCAAGTGAACCAGTTTATACCGTGTATGGGTTAACGTGACGGTTGATTGTTCACTCATTAAAATGGTACGTGAACCGGGTCCGGAATGTCACGTGATATTAATTTCAAACACTTTGGTATCTAGTAATCATACAGGAGAATGCTTGAAAATAAAACGTACTTTGGTCTGAATCTTATTTTATATAACGTATTTTAGGGGTAGTTTATCATATGTTTATCTTGTAAGCGCTTACTGGCAGAAGACGTTGATCTCACTTACCTTATCGTGTTAAAATCTCGACCATCAAAACATGATTGTTGGTAAGCATCTTAAACCCGGTAAACATTTATCGGGTAAGAGTCCGTTCTCTCACTTATCGGGTAAGACTATCGATCCTTGCTATGTCTCTTACCAGTAAGACCCTTGGTCATTTTAATGCTCAATCAGTAAGTTAATGATATCGATAAACGCTTACACGATAATTGTTTGGTAAACGGTCCCTTAGTTTAAATGTTTGAGATATCACATCTAAGGTACCATGATGAAGATTTTGAATATACATTGCACCAACACCAAATATGGATTAGACCAAAAAGAAATTACATTTTTATGACCCTCTTAACAGTTGGGGTTAAGTGAGTGAATAATCTGCTAATAATATGTATTGCGATGAATAGTATCTCGACCAAAAAAAATCTTTAGAAACTCTGTTATCAATCTCCCATAACGGGTGTTTTGCAATATCAGTATTCTTGTGGAAATGATCTGCTCCAAGAACCCCACAAGAGTCGTAGACCCAAACTGACACGTTCGCCAAATTCCCATAGACAATGCTCATGCTTGAGCTCGACTAAACATCCCATGTGTTTAACAGGCACCATTGGATGTCGGTCCTGTATTATCATGACTACAATCATGATATAAAATATCATATCGTCTTTTACGGATATCGTGAAATCTATTAATAAAAGTTTGTTAATTGTTTCAATTATCTATACTATATTATAAAACATTTGACAAAAACTCTTAAAACCCATTTTTTATGCATGAAATAATGTTTATTGATGCAAAATTCAAGATTACAAGTAAATTGTGTATAAGTACAACTTATTAAAGCTCTATGTTTGAAATAATGTAACTAACTGCGGATAAACATAATCAAATAGAGAATAAACATCTCATTTTAAAATATAAAAATATAAAATATGATTATGATAATTATTGGGTTCTAACAGAATACTTAATTATTATATTTATAAAAAAAATATTATTAAACTGAAATTAAATTACTTCGTTACGTAAATCAAATTATAATAAAAATTTTGAATTAAAAATATATATGAATAATAACTTTTAAATAGTTAATTTGTACTAATATTGATTAATTTTTTGCAATTTTTATATGATATTTTCAATTTTATATTTTATTCAAAAAAAAAAACATTATCGTTTTCTCAAAACCACATAAAATCATATTATATCGACATGGATAAAAAATAAAACGAAACATTGAAATGGAAATATGTCTCGATACATTGCACGAGTACCCTTCTAATTTATAGTATTTATAAATATTTGTTAACATATTTTTAAAGTATTTTTACAATTTCTATCTTTAAGTTCATCCCCGTATTTACAAAAATATGATAATATTTCTGGATTTCCAAATTAATTAATTTATAATAAAAATCAGAATAAATGAAAATAAATTAGTATTCATCAACAATTTATAGGTATCTTAGATTTGTTATTATTCCTTAAAGGTTGCTAGTATCATGTCAACGAAAACTTCTTATGTCGATTTTTGCATTGTCGATAATGATATGATTTTACGCTGATAATAATTCGACGACATCAAAAACCAGTGATGATCATATCCATAATAATCAGTTATTTTTCAACCATAAGGGTGGTGTCTAATTGGTTTGATCTTGACTCCAAAGGTTAAAAATACAAAGAGGTCTCAGGTTCAAATCCAAAGAGGAATACAAATCCTCTTGTGGCCACGGAGTTTTAAATGTGCGGGTTATCTGCAAAGCATGTGGTCGTTCTGGGATCAGTTGACTCGCATAGCAAGTTGGATATCCAGATTAGAGATGGCCAAAAACCGGTCCCGGGCCGGTCCCAATCGGTCCTCACATTTCTCATAACCGGCCATAACCGGTCCCGGCGTAACCGGTCCCGGTC